CCCCAAAACCCCAAAACCCCAAAACCCCAAAACCCCACTTCGCTGCTAAATTTTTGAAAAGCCAATAGTAATTAAAATTACGTATAATAAAGTTATATTTAAGATGGCAATAGGAAGATTTTTATTTGTGTTTTTACTAGTGCCAATGTTGGTGGCATACCCTCATGTTCCTCCATTTGTTATCAGTAATGAGGGATATTATGGAGATGATCCTAAGAAGTGATCTGATGCTTTAACAGATACTTTACTCAGCTTGGAGGATCTTGGAGCTGCCTTTTATGTCCTATCGACGGGAAAGTATCTGAATAATTGGGGAGCTTATGGTACTTGTCTTGGACAAGTCAAGGGAGGAGCTTATTGGATGGTCACTGTTACTGGGCCACCCAAAGCTAACGAAAATGGAGCTAATTTGACTTTCTATACAGGTCTCTGAGTTCCTATTGATTGTACAGAAAACGATATGCTCGAGCTTCAAAGTTTATTTGAAGGAGCTGCTGATTTTAACGATGTCCAATCACCACATATTTCCTATTTCTCAGTAACTGATTATGTTGAGGAAAGACAATCTTCAGCAAGTGTTGGAGAAATTTTTGGATGGCTTATTATTTTGGGATTCGGATTTTTAATTTTAGTTGGAACTCTTATCCAATGCACAAAATTATGTGATAAACCTAACATCAGAGTCAAGAAAAGCTCTCACGAAGCCATTGAGCACAGCGAAAGTTCTTATAACTCTTTAATAAACGAAGGAGAAATAGACCCTAATGAGATAACTAAAGAGTTTAACCATGATGTTTCTGTTCTATACCGAAAGAAGCCTCTTGCAGTTATATTCCTTGCCTTCTCGGCTATTAGGAATTCAAGCAAGCTGGTGTTCTCCCAGAAAAATGCTCAAGTGGATCCAAAGCTTATCTCAAACGAAGAGAGGACACTGCGCCTCTTTAGTGGATTGAGGTTCTATTGTATGCTTTGGATACTCTATGCTAATACTATTGCCCTGACAGAATGGGGTGTAGTGGAAAATATCAAGGACAAGCCTAACTTCTTCAAGAATTTCTTCTTTACAGTATTCCCTGCAGCTTTCTTTGCAGCTGATGTCTTCTTCTTTATCTCTGGATTCTTAGCGATTTACTCCATCCTTAAGCTTAAGAATTATACTTATGTTACAGCATTTTATCAATATGGAAGAAGATTATTTAGGTTGATTCCTATGATTGCTTTCGTTATGATTGTGTCTAAATTCGTCATCTCAAGATTTGTAGAAGGACCAATGTGCCAAAGATACAACGAAGAATTTGATGACTGCGGTAAATACTTCTGGACTAATCTACTCATGGTGAACAACTTCTATCCTGCTCATTTGGAAAGCCGCTGCATGTCATGGACTTGGTTCGCTTCAGTAGATTTCCAAATGTTCTTACTTGTCCCATTGCTCGGAATTATTTTTAGGATGAACAAGTTCATTGGATATGTTTGCACTCTTTTCCTAATTGGACTTGGGGTATTCCTTACTGCCTTGTTGAATGGGTTGTCTTCTTCAACCGGAGCTAATCCTTATCTTGATACTGAATTTTTCACTGATCTTTACATTAAGCCTTGGGCAAGAGGAGTCCCCTATTTTATCGGAGTTTACTTTGGAAGCAGATTCTTCTACTATTCCAGAAATGTTGATGAAAATATTTTCTTTAACAAGATTAAATATAACCCATACATCAGAGCTGTAATGTATCTGGCTTCATTCTGCTTGACATTCACAACAGTGTTTGTACTTTTTAGCTATACTAAAGATTATGGGTCAAACTGGTCTGTAGCAGGCCAAGTTATCTATGCAACTATTTCTCCAGTTTCATTCATTGCTGGAGTCACATGTTTGATCCTTCCAGCTTTATTAGGAAAAGCAAAGTTGATCAGATTTTTGTTAGTTGGTCCAGTACTTAACTTACTAGGAAGAACTACCTATGTTGTTGCTCTCGCTCACCCAGTTTTGATGCTAGGAATTTATACTACAGTCGGACAACAGATATACGTAGAGTCCTACAAAATGTTCACTCTATTTGTTGGGCATTCTTTCCTGATCTATGTTCTAAGTATTGCTCTTAACATTCTAATTGAGCTTCCAGCAAGAGGAGTGGAAGCTATCTGGCATGACAGATACTATGCTACTCAGATGGTGAATGAGTACATCGACGAAAGAGACAATTCTCAGAAGAAGCATGCTAAGGAAGAGATTAAAACTTCAGATCAATAATTGTTTCAATAACTTATTGTTACTGAGGGGTTTTGGGGTTTTGGGGTTTTGGGGTTTTGGGGTTTTGGGGTTTTGGGG